TTAGAACTTTCCTGCCGTCCTCCTTTTCCTCCCGATTTCTCCATCCATCCCCCCCTGCCTTTCTCGTCCTTACCACGTTATTCCTCCATGCTTCTGCGAAGCGCCCCCTATCCCATACCCGCATATCCTCATGGAGCTGCTCATCATCAGCATCCTCAGTATCTTCGCCATCACCCACCTCACCCTAGATTTTCATACTCGCCGTCATCATCTGGCTTCCCTCAACATCTAAAGTTAACGTGAGAAAAGAGACCGTGCGCCTGCGTGTCCCATGGCACTTGTCACGAAGCACGATCTGCAAATTCGGCGTCAACGTGTCCATCAAGATCTGAATGGGCCTGCGCATAAGTTCAGCACCCAACACTTCGTCAGCAGCAGCGTCAACGGTAACCATATGAATACGACGTCGTACAGTGTTGTCTAAACCAGGAACGTGTTCTTCGTTTCTTGAACCGATGTACTTTGTAGAAAACTCTGTTATTATCTGTTGTGTAGCTTTCACGATGCCCTCACCACCAGGGGCAGGATTCACAACCATGCCAAGCATTCCAGATCGAACTTTGAGGTCAGCGTTTACTGCAACAAATCTGCAAACCAGACGGCTCTTGCGAGCATCTCGCATCAATGATATCGACTTAACTGTTCTGAAGAATGATTGGTCTTTTCGCTTCGAGGCTTCGCCTAAGCAGGTAACCATTTTTCGTAGCTTTCCACTGGATCCAACTTTCTCCAAACCTTGATGGACTGAGCAATTTTGGAATAGAATATGGTCAAGAGCACGACGAAACTCACGAACAGGTGGTGCAAAAGGATGGGCTCCGCCAGTATTTCTTAGATAGTAGGAAACAGCTCTTCGGTGGAATCTACTTTTAGCGTGCCGACGTAAGTGCCCAATCTGCAAACCAGCCGAGACCACGCCATCAACATATTGCTTGATATGAGGCGGGGGCTCACTTCCGTGTATCTTAGCAGCTGCCGCCGCACACACGCGACAGCCAATACCCCAACGCCCACATGTCCGTGTCCCCGCACTTATCCAAGTTCCAAGAGAATCGTTCTCACTGCTGGTTCTCCCCCAAGAAGACGAACACCATTTCTGTTTGTTGCGAGTCCAAACTTGTTTTGCTGAAATTCGGGGGCCGCGTGGCATAGTCCTTGAGCCAAAACGGCTCGTGGAACTTCCGACCTAAGTCCGCCGACCCCTCGTTGGGCCACCAGGAATTGCTGCCGTATTTCAAGGGGGTCGCCACGGTTGGATTCCTTTCGAAACTCGGGTCAAAACGCACCGTTCTTTGCACATATTGCATATCATGTCGCACCAGCCTTATCGTTTGACGCCTAAGCTAAGAAAGTGTGTACGACTTGATTGTTTCGTCGTGTTGAACATATCTAGGGCGTGACTGATTTGGTAAGTTTGTTGATCTCACAATCGAGCCCACTATCGATACCACGATCGATCTCACTATCGGTCTAACTTTCGATATCACCATCGATCTCATTATCGGGACACCTAGCATCCCCCTCCTAGGGTCCCCCAGTGCTCCTCCTCCTCCCCCCTTAGGCCCCCCTCCTCCCCCTGATGTTGACCCCGCCAATTTTAATTTAATAACCTGTAACCCCGTCTCCCCTTCCCCCCCTATGTTGGCCCCCCCAATCATAACCCCGCAACCCCGCTAAGCGAGGGCAAGCCAGAGCCACGTCAGGAGCGCCAGAGGTTCCGTGATGTACGTCAGGGCATTCGGCGTCGCTGCCAGGAGGCGCCTCTTGATCTTCGAGGCGCCGCTGGTGTTCGTGCAGCGCTGCAGTGCCGTGGGATAGATTTCCCCGGGCCGTTGGACTTGAAGTATCTTCCTGACGAAGCCCTCGGGGAGTTCCCTCTCCTGGTCGACTGCTGGCTCCGGACGGGGTCCATTCCAGGCAGCTCATGCTCGTCATCATGGTGCTGCTGCCGCAACCGTCGGGCGCGGAGCGCAGCATTGGCATCAAGGCGTTCCTCATTCGCCGTGTCAGCCGGCTCTGTGGCACAGAAATCCTTCGTTGGGGGTCCAACTACGCGAAATCCGCGTTCTGGGACGACGCCATTCGCGGCAGCAGCGCGTTGAGGGTCAGCTTCCAGCGCCTCCTCATGGATGAAACGTGTGACGAGCTCGGCATTTTGCACAATGACATCGCTTCGGACGTCGACGCCTTCCACGACAGCATCCTGCCCAGCCGGGCATTGAACGCCAGCCTCGAGGTGGGCTACCCGCCCCAGCTCCTCGGCCTCTCCGGGGTCACCTGGCGTCGTGGCTGCCCGGCCACCATCTCTTGAGTTGTTCTGGTAGCAGTGCGCTCGAGATCGCTTCACGGAGGTGCTGTTTCGTGCTGCTGTCCGCTCCTTCTTCTTCCTCCAACATACACTGCGCTGGAAAAGATCTGCGCGGTCGCCTGTGCTGCGCCGAGAGCCCTCCGGGTTGGCCGAGCTGCCCCGCAGCCGCTCCACGGTGCCCGCAGCGCCGTGGCGGGCGGCGGCGGCGGCGGCAGCGCGGCGAAGGGCTTCTTGCACGACCTGGTGGAGCCCCTGCACGACGGGCTCCCTCCACGGGGGCGCTCGCACGAGGCGCTGGGTCGACGACGTCCTGCAGCGCAGCGACGGGGCAGGACGCGCAGGATCACCGGCGCCGCGGCGAAGTGTTTCCTGCGCGACTTGTTGGAGCACCTGCACGACGGGCTCCCGCCACGGGGGCGCTCGCACCGAGGCGCTGGGTCGACGACGTCCTGCAGCGCAGCGACGGTGCAGGACGCGCAGGATCACCGGCGCCGCCGTCGGTGCGGGCTGCCGCTGCGCCTCGGGGCACCTCGGCATGCGGACTGCGGGCGCCCGGCAGATCCTCAGCGGCGCAGTGCGCGAAGGCGAGGTCGTTGGCCGCCCCGCTGCGGCTGGCCACCGGCTGGACGCAGACCACGCCCATCGCGGGCCCTGGCACTGGGCGTGGTCGACCCCGCAGGCAGCGGCAGCCGCGCCACCGGCGTCGCGCTCTCGCGGCTGGCCGGAGCTGTCTCCGGCTCCGCGCGATCGCACGCAGCGTTCGCACGGCCAGGATGGCCACCAAGATCTACGTGGAAGGGGCGTTCGTGCGGGACCAAACAAGTATGCACCACCACCACCTCCCTGACCCCCTTCCCTCTCCCTGGAGAGAGGAGAGGAATATGAGGGCAGAGGAGGAGGGAATGGAGGTGGTGGTGGTGTCTATTCTTGGGGCCCGCAGTTAGCGAAGCGGTGGTATGGTCTGCGAGGCGTGGGAGCCGCGCCTCACTGAGCTGCGACGCGCTCGCCAAGCGGTGGGGGGGCGCCGTGGCCGGGGCGGCGCACGGGTCGACGCCTCACCACGCTCCCGGCCCTTGGCCTCGGCGGCAGGGGCTCCGCGTTTTCCCGGCGGCCGTACCGTTCGGGCGCTTCCGACGGCGCGCTGCCTAGGCGTGGCCCCGCGTCCGCGACCGCTCATGTCGGCGGCGAGCGAGGGGGGGGGAGAAGGAGGAGGAGGCACTCTCGGAAGGCGGCGGGACTTCTCAGAAGCCCTCGCTCGCGCCATCTGAGAATTTGTCTGCGTCCTCGGGGATGGCTTCGAAAATTTCTCAGCAGGCCGAGGGTCTTCCGAGCCTTCCAAGACGGCGCGCCCCTTCTCGCTTCCCCCCTGGGCTCGCCGCCGATTATAGAACGCCTCTCCCTGGCAGCAAGGTGGCGTCAAGTACGCGGGCCGGTCTCGGGAGTCCACGCCGCGCGAACACCCTCGTCGAGTGGGTCGCCCCAGGCGGAGCCACATGCGCCCTCCGCGAGACCCGACATTGTTGAAGGCCAGGCTCCTGACATCGAGGAGCTCGTTGCCCACTGGCGCGCGGAACCCAGCGCTGCCTTGTGTTGGAACACTGCCCAGTACCACTGCGGCTCGGGCATCGAGTTGGGCATCGTTTGGAAGCGGGCCAGCAGCGTCTTGACGGGGATAGAGCGCAAAGGGCTGCCGAACAACGAGCTAGCGGCCATCCGCTTATCCCTGGGCGGCGGGCATTGGACTCGGCAGCGAATCTGGCAGGCCCAAGCGGCCACTCGGGAGGGAGGCAGACGATGGTTGTCGCATTTGGGCGTGCCCTGGCAATCGCCAGATGCCAGCGTGCACGAAGAGCGACGACGAGGAGGCTGCCGCACCAACGCTCCGACGGGCCTAGAGTTAAGTCGGGCCCATCGCTCCCCCGCTCCCGCGCTGGCCCCTGCGCGGGGCCAGGAGAGTGGACCGGGGAGTGCTTGCCGCCTTCTCGGCGGCAGGCGCGGGTGCTCGGTCCGCTGTTGGCCCCCCGCGTCGCATGGGCGCATGGTCTCAAGTCGGGCCTGTCCCTCCACAGGGGGGGTATTCAAAAATAGTAGGAAATAGTACGGGGACGATGTTTTGATTCTTTTTGGCTATTCGGGAGTACGTTTGACTATTTTCAATGTTTCGTCCAAGATCCGCCTGTAGGGGGACATGCCCGACCTAAGCATAGTCTTGTATCGGTGTTCGGCCGTGCTCGCAGGCTGCACTCGGTAAGGGTGGCTTTGAACGTATGCGTGCCCTCCGTGCGCGTGCCGCATGCGTGTCGGGTGCACGGCGCGCGTGCGCCTCCAGCCCAAGCCTGTCTTCCAGGTAGGGGCGGGGGCTAGTAGCGTGGCAAGCTTCCAACCGCTCACTGCGGCCAGCATGACCCCACGGCGGGACCCGAGAGCACGAGATCACCAAACAAAATCCTCCTCCTTCTCCTCCTCATCCTTCTCCTCCTCCTCCCCCCCTCCTCCTCCTCTTCCTCCTCCACCTCCTCCTCCTCCTCCTCCTCCTCCTCCTCCTCCTCCTCCTCCTCCTCCTCCTCCCTCCCCTCCCCTCCTCCTCCTCCTCCTCCTCCTCCTCCTCCTCCTCCTCCTCCTCATCATCTCCTCCTCCTCCTCCTCCTCCTCCTCCTCCTCCTCCTCCTCCTCCTCCTCCTCCTCCGCTCAGACCTCCTCGCCCAGCCCTCCTCGACGCTCCCACCCGCTGCCTTTTCGATGTCATCGTCTCCCCATCGTTCTGCGCCGTGCCTCCAGCCTTGCCCGCGAACCGACGGCTTCCTGGAGCGAGAGAGCGAGAGAGAGAGAGAGGTGAGTATATATATATATAAGAGAGAGAGAGAGAGAGAGAGAGAGAGAGAGAGAGAGAGAGAGAGAGAGAGAGCCAGGGCGAGAGAGAGAGAGAGAGAGTACGTCCGCCAGCGCGGCTCCTGTCGCCCGACGCCTGCACCATCGAGAACGCCTGCAACGCGACGGCGCTGCAGCAGGCCGGCCGGGAGGGGCGCAGAGGCCTCCCCTGCTGCGGCCAGGCGCCCCGCGCGCTCGGGGCCAGGGGGTGGCGCGGCGGCGCGCAGGTGGGTTCCTCCAGCGCCGCAGCGGGAAGGCGAGCACGGAGGAGGAGGAGGAGGAGGAGGAGGAGGAGGAGGAGGAGGTGGCGGGCCGCGCTTGCAGCAGACTGCGGTCGGGATTTGTTTGGTTTGGCGCTGCGCTCCGCGGGTGGTGGCCCCGCACGCTTCGGCGCGGCACGCGGTCCAGTTCCCTCGGAGCCCCGATTTGCGCCGCGGGGTTCCAAACTGCAGTTGCCCCGGACCGCGGCTGTCCCGGTAAGATTCGAGCGTCCACCCCCCCCGAATCGTCGTGGCTGGAGGCAGTCAAGGGTAGCTATACGGGTTCGCGCCTCGGGGGCCCAAACAGGAGTTGCCCCGGACCGCAGTTATACCGGATTGCTCGGGCCCACAATTCCCTATCTCCAAGCGACAGGACCCCGAGTTCTTCCCAGCCTTTCGCCCCGCGGAGCGGAGCAGCACGCTATCCGCTCGCATTGCACAGCGTGTCGCCGGGGCCGCCGCGGCGACACTCTACGCAACAGCTCCTGGCCGTAAGTCGCCCCCGTGCGTGAGAGCTCGCATGAGAGCACACACACACACACACACACACGTTCGGCGGCACCGGGCGCAGCCGTCGCTTCGGTCGCGTGCAGCCTGGACAGGCTTAAGTCTAAGCCAGATCAGCATTGCGATGGAGAGTGAGGAGTGAGGAGAGAGGGGGCGAGAGAAAAACGAGAAGCCCCGCGCGCGACCAGAAGGCGGCCTAACAGGGGCGCACAGTGGGGCCTCGACGCGGGGCACGGCACCGTCAGGGAGGGGACGAAACATGCGCGCACGCACACACAGACAGACAGAGACAGGCAGACAGACAGACAGATAGAGACAGACAGAGACAGGCAGACAGACAGACAGACAGACAGAGACAGACTCTGCGCACCAAGTCTGTTCGGGGAGGAGCATTAGCAAGGGCACAGGCAAACCCGCGCCAGCACACAGGCGCAGCCTGCTGCTGGCGCCCCACCCCGGGAGAAATCCCAGCAGGACTTCTCCCAGGGGGCGGGAATTGCCCGCACCCAAGCCGACGCCCCGGCGGCACCCGCCCTGCGCCGCCCTTCAGCCGCCGGCCAGCGCAGCAGGTGGCCGCCCGCCAAGCAGTGCGCCGCCGCCGCCGCCGGGGCGCCAGGCGCCCGAGGCGCTGCCGCCGCCGCCAGGTCGCCAGGTCGCCAGCCGCCCGAGGCGCCGGCCCGCCGCGCCTGGCTCCGCGCCAGCTCGCGGCAGCGGCGCAGCGCCGGCTCGCGGTGGCGCCCGGCGCGGCAGACTCCGGCGCAGCCAGCCGAGCAGCGCCGCCGCCGTCCGCGCCGCGCCGCGCCGCCGCCGCCCACGTCGCGCCGCGCCGCGCCGAACAGCGCGGCCGCAGCCGCCGTCGCCGCGGGAGCCTCAGGCGCCCCCGGCGCCGCAGTCGCCGCCAGCGCCCCGGCGCCGGCGCGCCGCCGCCGCCGCCGCCGCTTCAGCTGCCCCAGGTGGCCAGGCGCCAGCGCGCCGCCCGCGGTCAGCTCAGCGCAAGCCAGCGGCCGCGCGCAGCTGCCGCGCCAGCTCGCCATGCAGGCCGCAGGAGAGCACGCGGTGCGCGCGGGCGAGCTCGCGGGCCTGCTCGGCGCCAGGCAGGCGTCGCACCTCTGCCTTCAGCCAGAGGCGCGCCTCGGCCCCGAGCCGCCCCCCCGCCTCGAGGATGATCGGGGTGAGGCGCTCCCCCGGGTAACGAGCGCGCCTCGCTCTCCGCGCCGGCTCGCCTCGCCGTCGCGACGGGCCGCGACCCGCTGCTCCGCCTCGGTGCCCGCGGCGGGGCGCCGCACGTCGAGCCAGCGACGCCCGTCGTCGTCCTGGAACTCGAGGTCGAGCACGGCGCGCTCTGTCTCCCCGGGGTGGCCCGGCTTCGGCCTGTCCCAGAGCGGGGCCCGCTGCTCGTAGAGCGGGAGCTCGTGCCTCCAGCGCCGTAGCAGGCCGCCGAGCCGCCGAGCCAGCCGGCCGTGCCTGCGCACCACCCCGCCGCCGCTCTGGCAAGTGGCGCCGTGGTAGCCGAGGTCGTCCAGCGGCTCCCCACAGACCTCGCAGCTGGCCTTCTGCAGGCAGCAGTGGGCCGTCGCCGCCGCGAGCTGGTCCCGGGAGCACTCGGGCCTCCGGAGGTGCAGCCGGAGGCGAGTAGCCGTCTCCCAGTGCGCGTCCTCCAGCGCGCAGAGCGCCTCGGTGGGGTAACCCAGGAAGGCTGCCGCGCCTGGCCCAGCTTGCCCTCGCAGAGTGGCTTGCTGGAGGAGGGGCAAACGCTGCAGGAGTGCAGCGTGGTGTGTCTTTTGCACCTTCTCCATAACCAAGCCCTGCTTGAGCTCGCGCGCCAGGCTGTCAGCCAGCGTTCCGCCGTCCGCCAGCAGCATCCCCTGCCCGGCCAGGCCCTGCCTCGCTTCCTCCGGCTTGCGCGCGGCGGCAGGCAGGCGCTCCAGGGCGTCGTGCAGCGAGCTGCACCCCAGGTCTCTCACTACCTCCTCGGCCGCGCCAGACCAGGAGGCCAGGTAGGCGGCGCTCCGCCGCGAGCAGGCCAGCTGCCCCCCGAGGCCGCCAAGGCGCTTGGGCAGGCTCAAGAGCTCCCTGGCTTCGCCGCTTAAGTCGCGCCTCAGCAGCGTCTCCCAGCAGCGCGTTCGCCGGGCGTCGTAGCGCTGGGTGGCTTCCTCGCTTGCCAGCTCCTGCCGCAGGGCGTGCAGGCTGGCGGCGCCGGCGTAGGTCAGCAGCAGCGCCCCAGTGGCTTGCTTTGCCAGGCCCGCCTGGTGGAGCCGGTAGAGCGTGTCCCAGAGCTTCTGCAGCCGCAGGGTCGCCTGGTCAAGGCTGTTGGCGCGCGCCCCGAGGGCTGCGGGGTTGTCCTCTGTGTCCCCCCGCGGCCTGAGGTGCTTGCCAAGCACCGGGAGAACAGCCACGTAGTGGGGCCGCAGCGCAGGCGGCACGACGGCGCCCCCGCTCGGGGACCAGACCGCAGTCTTCGCGTGGTTGAGCTCCAGGCCGTAGGGCTCAAGGGCAGTCTCCAGGGCAGTGAGGGTGGCAGGGGAGAGGCCGGCCTCGACCACCAGGTAGGTGTCGTCCAGGTAGGAGTAGAGCCGGGCAGCAGGGTCCAGCCTCTGGAGCTCCACCCAGAAGTCGGCGAGAGCCTCGCGCTGCGCCACCGAGAAGCCAGCGGGAGAGAGCGGGTCGCCTTGGTCGAAGCCCCTGCTGCTTGGCACCTTGTGCAGTGCGCCGCCGGCGTCTCTCCAGTAGTGGTCCACCGGGCCCCCGTACCAGGTGGCCAAGGCGGCGGCCACTGCAGGGTCGTGTCGTGCCATTGCTGCGGTGGCAGGTTGGCGTTTCACTCTCTGGAAGGCCGCCTTAAGGTCAAGCTTCAGGAAGACGGCGGTGGGGCGGGCCTCCGCCTGTGCCTCGAGGCACCGCAGTAGGAGGTCCGCGCCCTTCTTCCTCCCCACGCCGTACTGGTGCTCGCCAGCAGCGGCCGCCAGCCGCTCCTTGCGGACCCGGACCAACGCCCGCAGGCCGAGCCGCCGCCAGGCCGAGCTCACCAGCAGAGGCCGGACCTCGTCCGCACCTTTTTCGAGGGCGATGACCTCGCCGGCCCGCAAGGCTTGCAGCGTCCCAGCCGGAAGAAGGCCGAAGGTGACCCAGGAGACCGCCTCGGAGAGAAGCTGTAAAGTCTCCTGGCTGGCCGCTGCCGTCTCCAAGTGCTCCAACCTCGTTCCGAGCAGGCCCGGGGCAGTGAGCCGAGCTGGTCTGCGAAGGAGGCGCCGGATCTCCTCCTGCACCGCCTCGAGCAACTCCTCGTCCGGCTCCGAGCGGGCGCCTGGGGCGGCCGGCGCGGCAGCGTCCTCAGGGAAGCGCTCGAGGACCTTTTTCAGGGTCTCCGGCGTTCGCGGGGCGAGCTTCGCGCTGGTGGCTGCCGTCAGCGCTCGCCCCTCTTCCCCGGAGGCGGCGAGAGTGTGTACCCGAGCCGCTAGCTGTTTGTCGGTCTGCTCGCGGCTCCTCCTCGGGACAGTCCTGCCAGCCCGGGTGGAAGCCCAGAGGGCTGCCCAATGCCCGCCCCAGAACCACGCGAGCCTTTCCTCGAGCAGCTCCCCACACGTAGCCGCCTCGGACGACTTGGACAGGAGGAGCATGTCCATGAGTAGGACCAGTTTCCACTCGCTCTCGGCCTCCGAAGTCCCACGGGCACGCTTGAGGACCTCCAGGGCCTTGTGCCGCGCCTCCTGGAGGGTTCCTCGGAACCGATCCGGGACCTGCACGAATGTCGTCGTGCCAGCTTTGAGTGCATCTTCCCAGCGCAGCGTGTCCCACCAGGCGGCGTCGGGCAGGAGCTGCTCCTCCCAGGCTGGGTGCAAGGGCGCGGCGTGCTGGCCAGCGTGGAGCGCTCCGGCGCCCTCTCCAGCGGCCGCCCAGACAGACAAACAGACACAGAGACAGAGACAGACACAGAGACAGAGACAGAGACAGAGACAGACACACACACACACACTGACTGACTGTCTGTCGGCGGCGTGATGAGCACCAACTAAGCTTGAGGATCCCCGCACCGGTTGCAGGCGCGCAGTCGCGCGCGCGCGCGTTCGTGGACATCACATCTTTCCGCCTATCCACTTGGGCGGCCGTCGGCCAACCTCGAAGGTGCAAGGACCACACCGAAGACGCCGCGCTGGCACCGAGGAACAAGTTCGCGTGCGTGCGTGCGCTTCGTACCCGCACGCCCAGATCATGGACGCGCGTCTGCCATGCGGGCATCACGAGGAACGAGCCTGGCGGCCCTGGCGTGCACGCGATCACGGGCGCGCAGCAAATAATGCTCGCTCTCCTCACAGGACGGCGTCGTTGACGCTTCCGCACCCGCACTTCAGCGGTGGCGCGGGTGGGCCAGGCCGAGGCTGGGAGGATTTTCCGAGAAGAGGTCTTCGAATGGCGGTTTGATACGTGCAGTGCTCAGTTGCCCCGATACGCCCGTTCAATTGCAACTCAAAACGTCCGTGTGTGTCGGCTCAACGTATTGGCCCACGCTTTGGCGAACGCATCCCGTCACACCTACGTTTTCAGTCTACGTGCTGAGCTCCGCAACGACACGCTACGTGTCGCGTGCCGCGCATCGGGGCACCCAAGGTGCAGTGCTTGCCCGGAGTCCTTGCTTGTCTCTGGGGGCGGGGAGAAGGAGGAGGACGGGCAGGAGGCGGGAGCGGCAGCAGCAGCACCGGAGCGCCCCACGAGGAGGCGGGCAGGCCGCCTGCCTCCGGCAGGGCACTGGGCCGCCAGCGCCTGCGAGCCGTGACACGTGAAGCAGTTCCACAAGGTTCGTTGAAAGTCGGTATTTTCGGATGCCTAAATTCTACTTCAAGATCCACTTTTAGGCACCTTCCTACTTCAAGGGTCTAGGGGCTTCCCCTTGCCATTAGTCTGCAGGTGGCAAGCGGAGGCCCAATCTATACTTCCGACGCTGTCCTACCTCTTGGTTCTACGTGCCCACTCCTTCCGACCGACGGGCACATACGGTCGGACCGAGGTATAAGATCGAGGTCGGTTCGGGGAGGGTATACCCCAATTTCCTTCGTGCTTGCTGGATATTCTGGTGCATTCAGAGGAAGGGCGCCCTCGAGCGTGCTTACGGCGTGTGGTGTTTTGGCCAGCGGAGGGTCTCAAGTTCTTGAGGGATGTTCTTCTGTCCTAGGTCCCGACCATCTGCGATATTACAGCAAGGATTGACCGCAACTTCGTTTGGCGTGGTTGGGGCCTTTAGTTTGTGTTTCGCCTTGTTGTTCGTTTCTGTGCTGTTTCGTTGCTGTGTTGGCTAGTTGGTTTGAGTGCCTCGTTTCGTTGTTCGTTTCGTTTGGTACCGATTTCGTTTGAAGCGTCCGTTTTAAACGCTGGGTTTCGTTTCGGTGTTCATTTTAAGCGCCATGTGAAATAACATCGTTGTGGCTGGTCCTTGGATTACTGCCGAGTCACATAGTAAGGATGCGCACCTTTCCACGGCTACCCTAGCGTCCTTGCCCCTTCGCCCCATCCTTGGCGACCTTCGCTGGCTAACCCTGTTCGAAGACGCCAACATGCCCCCTCCGAGGCCCTTGCGTCCTTACCGCGCGTCCTTATTAACCGCGACTGGTCTTCAGAACCCCCCCCCAACAAAAAAAATGAAACTAATTATCCGTAAGGGCTTCGCCCCCTGCTGCCGCCGGCCCCCTCTCTATCAGAATGGGATACATCAGAGCAATATTGGGATGTTCGGGCGCCGTCTTGACGACACTCGGGAACGTCATGCTAGGGCGGCTGGCGATGAGCAAAACATATTGAGATGTTGAAGTTGTTGTTGAACGCTTCGTTGCCTTCTTGGCATCTTCCTCCAGTTGTTCACTGGAAGCGCTCTGGGAACGGCTGGGGATTGCTTCAGGCAATCTCTGGGAAGGTTATTTTTTCCTGCTCTGGAGAAGGAGTGGCGCCTTTGGGCAGCTTCCGCGAGGTGGATTCGTAGCGTGGGGGGTGCGCGCGAATTTGGTATAATTTGCGGGGGATCGTGGCCTCGGGGACGCGAACGTGGCGTAATTTACGAGGGGTCGTGGCCTGGGGGGCGCGACAGCGGCGTAATTTTCGAGGGATCGTTGCCTCGGGGGCGGGAATGTGGCGTAATTCACGCGGGATCGTGGCCCCGGGGGCGCAAATGCGGCGTAACTGACGAGGGATCGTGGCCAGGGGGGGTGAAGTGGAACCCACCGCCGAATTTTCCAGAAACGGGGGGGGGCAAAAGAATACCAGCGGAGCACATACCCCAATATAGAAAATTGCCGTTTTTCTGCTTTGGAGAGGGGGGAGCGCCTTTTCGGCAGCCTCCGCAAGGCGGATCCATGGCCTCGGAGAGGAAGCAGAAAGCAGTACTGTAACAATGTAAACTGGAAACTGGAACTGGTGCAGGGAGCAGCAACCTTAATCCTCGCAGCCTGATGGCCCCGCAAGGGGGCTGGCGGATCTTGTCGGCGACCTTATTGACGGATTGGGGCTTGCCCGGCACCTACCGCACAACCACGACGACGACGGCTACGATTACAATTACAACTACGATTGCGACTACGAGTGCGACTATGACTACGATTACGACTACGACTACGAAAGCTCTCGAATCAAAACGATGCACATTCCTGTTGCGATCCGCATGAGAATATGCTCACGCATCCTCTCGCTGCAGGATGGCCCACAGTGGATTATTCCCTGGGAGAAAGAACCATCAACATTATCCAGCCCGCCCAACAATACAGGGAAGAGAATTGCCGCCGAGACGACGACGACGAAGACGATAGCGACGACGACGACGACGACGACGACGACGACGACGACGACGACGACGACGAGGAGGAGGAGGAGGAGGAGGAGGAGGAGGAGGAGGAGGAGGAGGGGCGGGCTCATTCCCCGCCGAGAGAAACAGGGGGGTGTGACCAAGACGCAAGGCCTCCTCGGGTTGTGCGTCTGGACTGTGCCACTGCCGCGGCGCGGCGTGGACAGTGTGCACGCCGGCCCGAGGCACCCCTCCCTGGCTGGGAGAGCGCCGCCCGCGCCCGCAGACGCCCGGCGACTGCAGCCTCAGGACTTCTCGGGGTGGCACCGGCCTGCCTCCGCCGAGCCGTCAGCCGACATGTTGGCCGCGCGTGCTACGAGTTGAAGCCCCGGGCCCCCAGCCCAGCAAGCCCCCCCCCTCCCCCCAGCTTCTGGAAACTGCGCCTCCCGCCGAGCGGTCGGCCGACATGTCGTCCGCGCGTGCTACGAGTTGAAGCCCGGAGCACCCGGCCCAGCAAGCTCCCCCTCCCCCCAGCTTCAGGAGACTGCGCCTGGCGACCTGCCGGGTGCCTCCGAGCGAGGATGGGCCAGCGGGCCCCAGATTCCCTCCCTCCGCCCCCTACAAAGTATAGTCTGAGCCAGGGGTCCAGCCTCCCCCCGTAATTTGTTTCAATTACGGGAGATCCCCAGAGGCTCCCAGAACCCGCAGTCCTGGCGGCCTCTGGGGACCTCCCGCGAATGAACGTGGAATTGCGGGAGGTCCCCACAGGCTGCTCGCAGCTCGTAGAGAACTGCCTCTGGGCACTTCCCTCAATTGGGTCAATTGCAGGAGGTGCTATCTGGCGGGATAACAGGGTCTCCCCCCCTCTCCCTTCGCCCGAGTTCGACACGTTGTGCCAGGCTTCGTGCCCGCCGCTGCGAGGGAGGTGGGACGGTAGGGCCCGAGGTGTCTCCCAGAGAGCCCCGCTCGACGGCGCTCTACTTCTCTGGTCGGGTGCTTTCCTGGTCGACCACCTTGCCCTCTGCTCGGGAGTCGGTGTGGCACGCTGCGCCCCTCCCTCTCCTGGCGCCTATCTGGGGAGAGGCCCCCTCCAGTCGGCAGACGGCCCCGTCGGCCACGCTGGACGGAGTCCAGCTTCAGCACCAGGGGGGCACAGAGAGTCGGGATGGCCTCGGCGCTCCAGGCCGGCTCTCGCAGCAAGGAGGGCGGGTCGGGGCTCCCGATTCCGTTGATTCTTCGGGCAGCGCGCCGCGCGCACAGAGATTCGAGCGCCAGGGTTACAGAGCCCCTTCCTGGCGACCTGGTGGAGCCCCGTTGGCCAGGAGCACCGGGCCTCGTGCAGGGCGGCGTGAGCGGAGGGGCGCTGGTTTTCGGGCTGGTCCTTGGGTCCCCGCCGTGTCGCCCATTCGTGGGCCGGGCTTGCCGGGGCCAGCAGAGGCCCTTCGTCCCTGGTCCAGCAGTCCTCGTGGCAGCACGACGAGTGTGTATTTGAGTATCGGCTGCAGGAGCGGCGGAGACCGCCGCAGGCTGTGCGACGGGAGGCGTCACGTTGCGCCGCCCGCCCCTGGCTGCTCCCGCACCGACCTTGTGACGCCAGGTGCCTTTCGTGAAGGGAAGGCACGGCGAGTTGGGAGCCCAGGCAGAGGACTCCCCAGTGCGCGGCCCCAGGAGGTCCCGACCGCTTCCACGGGGACAGTTCTGCGCCCCAGATGTGCTGTTGATGGTGCTCGATGACGGGCCCCAGAGGCCGAAATCGAGGTAAACGCTGGGATTGCAGAAAGCCAAACAGTTGGCACGAAGGTCAAGAAGAACCCGATCCTCGGAGGAGTACAGTGATGCTCCTCGTGTTTGGGGCCCTCCGCTTTGGAATGTCCGTCTTTCGGGAAATCGCCATGGAGCCGTGGGACATCTGCGAAGGAGCTCGTAGTCCTGACCCGCGTTCTTGTAGCCATGTTTCGACTGTACGGCCAGGAACTGTGGCCTAGCGTGTCTCTCCGCCGGTTCTGGCCCACCACGCTTCGGCGCGATACGCTCACCGTGTCCTTGTTCCCGATCGTCAACGTCCCGAGCCTCTCCCAGCACCCTGCCCCGCAGAGCGGAGCGATGCGCTATCCGTCACCACCGACCAAACCACCCAGACCCAACCCTTGAAGCCCCCAATTTGCCCTCCATCCCCAGTGGGGTGGGGGCGTCGTGGATCATGAAAAAAGCACCCATGGGACCCGTACCCCCCACCAACCCGAAGTTCGGGTCTTCGGGCTGGGCTGGGGTGGTCCAGCAGGTAACCAGACCCGCTCGCAGGGCACGCTGACGTGCCCGCCTGTAGGCCTCGGGATCGATGGGGCCCTCGCGGGCGAGGGAGGCTCGGGCTGCGCGGCCGAGCGCTGCGCTCCCCGAGCGGGGCGGGAGGCCCTGCAGCACGTCAGCCTCAAGGTCGACGCCGCCGAGGGCGAGAAGGTCCGCTGAGTCAAGCAGTGGCGAAGCGTCCTGGCTTGCCCATAGTCCTGCCAAAGAATGTTCTAAGAACCTGTTGTGGTATGCACGAAATGTTCTTAGGACACTTCTGGCTGGAACTGTTCTGTTTTCACGCATGAGGCTTATGTTCTAAGAACATTGTTTTGGTTCTGGGAACGTTTTTGGGCTCTAAGAACATTTCGTGGTGGGGCTATAGGAATGCCGGGACGGTCGGTCCCTGCTCAACGCTGGGCGGGAGGGAGGCGGCTGGGCGAGTCGGCGGTCGACGAAGCAGGCAGCTCGATGGGCGGCGGGGGCAGGGTTCGGACGTCGCCGCCCAGCGAGGCAGGCGAGCAGATCAGGGGCAACGTTCTGCGGATGTTGTGTTCGAAGGTTTTCGGCACCTGGGGTGAGTTCCATCAGCTGCGCCTCGTCCAGAGCGCTCCCGGTGTGCCGGAATCAATCCGAACGGCCGCCGGAGAGGCGAGTTAGGGCCCGAAAACCAAGGGGCAACGACAGAGAGGGGGGGCGGGGAAACGTTTCAGGCTTTCAAGGCTCGAGGTCTTCTCTGTTTTCGTCGGTTCTCGGCGGTCTTCCTGCCTCGGGATGCGTTCCAGCAGTTGCGCCTCGTCGAGGGTGTTCTGGGGGTGCCAGAATCGTCCTCAGAGGGCGCCGGAGAGGCGAGTGATGCCCCGAAAACCAGACGACGAAGATCATTGGCCGGCCAGGTGAGGCAGGCAAGCACATCAGGGGCAACGCTACGGGGGAGTAGGCTCAGAAGGGGGAACGTTTCAGGCTTTCGAGGCTCGAGGTTTTCGGATGCCTTCGTGAGTTCTCGACGGTTTTCCCGCCCCGGGAGGCTTTCCAACAGTTGCCCCTCGCCGAGGGCATTCTTGGGGTGCGGGATGGTCCCGAACGGCCGCTGGGGGCCTGAGGTATGGCTCAAACGCCAGGGAGCGGAAGGTCAGGGGCAATGCGAGGGGGCGTCGTCTCTGGGGGGGATGCACCGCCCCCAAATCGTCTGCTCATCGCCGACAGGGGCCCGATAGCCCCAGCCCGTCCAGGAGCGTGCGGATTTGCTATCGGGGTCCTGTCGCCGATCTTGCTGCGACGTATCGCCGATCCCACGTCAATGTGTGCCAATTCCCCCTTGTCGTCGCCCCTCGGGCAACGAGAAAAAAGGGTAGGGCAAGAGAGGGCAAGGCGAGGCATAGCAGGGCAGCCACCCGTCAATCCGCAGCAGGGGCCCTCGGAGAGACATGGGCCAACTCGAGTCGCAGTGGTGCTAACTCGTTCACGGATCCGAAAGCCGCTTCTTTGATGCGATGGGCTCTTGTTCGACACCCGTTCTGGGAGGGGCGCGCATGGGTTTCGCAAGGGAGGGTCGTGCGGACAATTTTGCGTGCGGGTGCATCACGCGGTGCTGTTCTGGGGTCACGCGAGCGGTCTCTTCGACTGTACCCGCTTCTGCCATGCGTTGCCGCATGTGAAGTGGGAGGCGCCAAATCTTGGCGCAACCACCCTCCCCCTTCACGGAGCGGCCCGCGCGGGTCGCACCTCAAGCCACTGGACCATTGGGCCTTGGGCCCCTCATCCGGCGTTCCCCTGTCCAGGTGCAGGCAGCGGCGAAGCCAGGCCCAGGATCGAACGACTTGACTCGACCGCATCAGCGCCGACCCTTCCGACACGACCGTGTCGACACGACGGCGGCGGCTGGGGCTGCGGCGGGGGCGGCGACGGCGACGACATCGGCGGCCGCGATGCCGGCGAAGACCGACAACGGCGGCGGCGGCGACGGCAACCGACAACGGCGGCTGCGACGACGGCGGCGGCGGCCACGATGACCGCGACGACGCTGACGACGACGAGCTGGCGCCGCCCGCTCGGCGGGGGAGGTGGGCTCGTCGTGGGGGGGGCGGAGGGCCAGCGCAGCAGGCCGGGGGCTGCGCCCGCTACGCCGTGGGCGCCTGGCAGACGCCCAACTGGACAGGCGGCACCTCCGGCGCCCTCCGGCGGCCTCCGGCGGCCTCCTGCTCGTTGCGGCCCTCCGCGGCCTCCTGCTCTTCGCGGCTTGCCGCGGCTTTCTGCTCTTCGCGGCCCGCCGGCGGTCCTCGGCGCCCTCCGACGGCCTCCTGCTCTGGGGCGGCGCTCCAGCTGCCCTCGGCGGCTGCCCTCGGCGGCCTGGCGAGGCGAGTGGGAGCGAGGCAGCAGCAGCGGCACCAGCGGCAGGAGCAGCGGCGACGGCATCGGGAGTGGCAGCGGAGGGAGGATGAGGAGGGCGGTTGACAATCAGGAGTAGGAGGATTCTGCCTGACGCACTGGTACACCTTGCTCCTAACGCTTCCAGCGCCTGAGGCCCTGGTTTCGGTCCCCCGGTGTGGTCGTGATGCTGGTCCGCGCCCATTGCCAGGACACTTCCGCTGGCCGCATGGATTGCCTCTGCCGCGCATCTGCACGCGCTGCGACGGAAAAGTGTGCATATGTCGCACCTGGTCAGTTCCCGTGCTCGTGTCCGGGAAACGTAAGATTCGAGTACGCCAGAACTCGGGTTCGTCTGCGTTTTTTGACGAACCCGCGAGTCTACGTCTCTCCGATCTTGAGCTGTCGAGTCTTCGAGAATCCTTACAAACACCGGATCTTCAATGTGAGCGAAAAAGGAGGAGGGGAGCGAGAAGAAAGGGGATTGGGAGGAAGAGTAGGATCAGCAGCAGGAAGGACGAAGATGAGGAGGAGGAGGAGGAGGAGCTGGACGGGGAGAGGAGGAGGAAGGAGGAGGAGGAGGAGGAGGAGGAGAAGGAGGGCGAGGATGCAGTAGGAGGAGGGAGGGAGTGGAAAAAAAACAGCGGGAGTATACGGACAAGAAGGGGCCTCCTCTTCCACGGGGAGCAACTAGACCCCGGACGAGCAACAGCGTGGGGAAGCGCTCGGCGTTGCCAGGCGGCCCTTGCTTCAGCGCCAGCGTGGAGTATGTCGTCCGGAACAGGGCGGACCCCGCCGAAAGCCGCACCGTGGCCGGCACCATCAACGAGGCCCCCGCGGCAGAGGAAGGCGAATTCGATGATCACGCATGGTGAGGAGGGCAGGCAGGAGCGAAAAGGAGAGAAGGAAGGGAGGCAGCAGCGGCGGCAGGAGAGGGAGGACTCCGTTCCACTGCGATCCCGCGGGGAAAAGGAAAGGGCTCGGAGGTGTACACAAGGCGGGCGGCACGCGCCGCTCGGCCAGGCAGCACTTCCCCCCCGGATCACGCGTTCAATGACCCACGGGTCGTCACCCGAAGGCTGCGCGGAGCACGCAGCCGCGGATGAAATCATCTCGCGGCTGCGGGCAACGGGCGCATCGTCGGATGGCGCTCGCCGCCCCAGCGCGCGCGCGCTCGGCTGGTGCAGGGCGGGGCTCCGCTCCGGCCGAGAGGCCGCGGGGACGGATTGGCCCTGGCGAGTCTGCGCTGCGGGGGCCTCCTGGGCTCCCTTCGGCCCGCCGATCTGCGCCTCCTCTCCCCGTCCAGCTCCTCATCCTCCTCCTGCTCCAGCTCCCCTTCCCTTCCCTGAGAAACCGCCATTGATCCTCCAGTGGCACTGGTGTCCCCCCCCTCCTCCTCCGGCGGAGGCCCGCCACATGCACTTCGCGGCCAGGCACGCCCCGCCCGCCCCGCCGGCCGCCCTCCGCTGGGCTCTGAGCGCTCCCGCACCTGTCCTCCAGTCGGACTTATCGTCCTCCTGCCTCCTTCTCCTTCCTTCCTTCCTCCTCCCTCCTTCCTCCACCTCTCGCCTCTTCCTCCTCTTCCTCCTCCCTCCTTCCACCTTCCTCACTCCATCCTCCTCATTCTTCTCCTCCTCCCTCCTCCTCCTCTCCTCCTCCTCCTCCTCCTCCTCCTCCTCCTCTCTCCTCCTCCTCCTCCTCCTCTACCTTTTCCTCATCCTTCCCTTCCTCCTCCTCCTCCTCCTCCTCCTCCTCCTCCTCCTCCTCCTCCTCCTCCTCCTCCTCCTCCTCCTCCTCCTCCCCCTACTCCTCCTCTGGAGCCTCTGGAGCCTCAGGAGTCTCTGACAAGTCGATCCCTGAACGAAAATAGCCTTTGGCAAGGAATATCAGTGCACGGGGAAAGGGACTCCGACCTCCCTCTTGCTGGTCGGGTCCACCCCTTTGCGGAGCATCTTGGTTGCCTTCGTTCCTGCTTCGCTGTGGGGGGCCGCATCGCGCGGCCAAGTCCTTGACCTGTCGCCTCGCGTGGCGACCTCACCCAGCACAGTAAAAGATGTCAGACAAGCCCAGGCGCCACATCCTGTAAGTCTCATGCACCTTAGCTAGGACCCTCGGGATGTCTGGGCAGCATGTTTGAACGACTACACTGCGCTTGTTTGCGCTCTTCCCACACTGCCTGCAACCCCACACCGTTCGCGATGTGTGTGTGTGTGGATGTGTGTGTGGACGTGTGTGTGTGTGTGTGTGTGTGTGTGTGTCTGTGTCTGTGTCTGTGTCTGTGTCTGTGTCTGTGTCTGTGTCTGTGTCTGTGTCTGTGTCTGTGTCTGTGTCTGTGTGTCTGTCTGTGTGTCTGTGTGTCTGTGTGTCTGTGTGTCTGTGTGTCTGTGTGTCTGTGTGTCTGTGTGTCTGTGTGTCTGTGTGTCTGTGTGTCTGTGTCTGTGTGTCTGTGTGTCTGTGTGTCTGTGTGTCTGTGTGTCTGTGTGTCTGTGTCTCTGTGTGTCTGTGTGTCTGTGTGTCTGTGTCTGTGTGTCTGTGTGTCTGTGTGTCTCTGTGTCTGTGTGTCTGTGAGTCTGTGTGTCTCTGTGTCTCTGTGTCTCTGTGTCTCTGTGTCTCTGTGTCTCTGTGTCTCTGTGTCTGTGTCTGTGTCTGTGTCTGTGTCTGTGTCTGTGTCTTCGTCATCTGGGTCTATCCTAAGTTGCAGCACGGGTTCTGCTGGGCCTAGGAAGCCTGGCTTGGGTTTTTCTGCTTTAGCCTTCTGAGAGGGCACTACGTCGGGAAGACTCGAATCACTGAGCCTCTTGAAGGTTCCCACTAAGAGCCCAACGAATTGTCTACCTATAATGCGAAGGCCTTACGGCCGGTGCCGCCGACCCTGAATGGCGACGACGACGACGACGACGACGACGACGAGCGCTCTTGGGGGCCTCTTGGGGGTAGTTTGTGGGCCTCTTGGGAAGCTCTTAGGGGCCGCTTGGAATCCTCGTGGGGGCCTCTTGGGGCTTCCTGGGGGTCTCTTGGAGGGGGCCTGGGACGTCTTGGAGGCTTCTTGGACGGTCTTGGGGCTATCTTGGGCGTTTTCGGCCGATCTTTGGGCGACTCGGGGCCCTCTTGGGCCGTCTCGGGGGCCATCTTGGGCATTCGGACCTTATTTGGAGTGTTTTCGAGGTTTCTAGGCCGCCCGAGGAAAAACGAATCTGCCCCCCCACCCCCCCCGGGACCCTCCCCGGGACCCTCCCCGGGACACCCCCCGGGACCCCCCCCGGGACCCCCCCCCCCCTGGGGAAGGGATCAAAGGGAAGGGGCTTCCCTTCGACTCGATTACGACACTGCTAGATTTTTCTCTCGCTCACGAGCTTGAGAAGGAAGCTGCGGGGAAAGGGGACGACGGAGGCGACGACCGACGGAGACGACGACTCGAACAGCGAAGCCCCTCGCACACTGTTGCTGCGACACGCTGCTCTACGTGGGCCACAGAGGGGTGACCCATTGCTCCTACCCTAGCGCACTTGTCAGCTACTCGCTTCCCAAGACACCAATCAACAGGAACATCGTTCTGTAGGTACCAATTCCTGGATTTGTGAGAGGGCATCCGATGGATCTCCACGAGGTCCCTACCTATGTCCTCCAGTCTCCAGAATATATGCCTCCAGATTTCCCGATATGGCTGAGCAGGATCACACGTCACCGACGGCCCCTTATCGAGGCCCGTGAGCAAATGCTTACGATCGGTGACGACGTCGCCTCGCATGCCGTTCAAATGGTGCAGCGCCTGGAGCAGGGCATACGTAGTGCTCCGCGAGACCTGAAGGCTGCACAATACCTGGAGCAGGACCGTAAGCTGCTGCTGTGACCTCTTCCGTCCCTGGGCGAATCGAAACTGCGGACCAGCCAGCCTTGGTGAGCCAATCTACGTCTGGATTTAGCCCCGAGCCGTCGATGAAGATGAGCTGGGACAGCTTGCCTCTGGGGGGGGGGTACCACCCCATTTGACACTCACTGGCCTGGAGCGGAAGAGGCATCTCATCACGGTGGCTGTCCACCACGCCGAAGGTGGTGAGCACCATGTCTGGGTTGTCTCGGGCCCGTCGAAACCCTGCTCGCGCCTCTAGCTCTCGAGCCCGTCGCAAAAACATAACCTGTGAGAGATCGTCCGTGGCGCGCTTCGGCACCAACTGCAATCCCTGTGCAAGGAAAACCTATGGTGTAAAATCTTGTCTTGAGTCCAGAGGCCCCAAGCCATATACATACTGACCAAATCTGCCTTGACAAAATCACCCCGTCCTCGAAGTTGCCAGAGCTCAGCTTTCACAGGATCCAGGAACGCGAAACCTTGCCATCCGTGATGTGTTGCTGCTGCTGCTGCTAACTCCTGCTGTCTCCTCACTCCTCGATGAACCACCTTCTTCATATCTGGTATGCTCGTAACTTTGAGATTGACCTGGAGCCCCTGGGGGTCCTGCCACTGAGAAAACGAGCTGGCCTTCCAGCCCAAACGACGCAGCGTCTGAACAACTGCTCCTCCTCCTCCTCCTCCTTTTCCTCCTGCTCCTCTTCCTCCTCCTCATGCTAGAACTTCAATGGGCACCCTCTCTTGTACGCGCGGGTGACGGCGAGGTCGGGCAGAGAGGAGGGCAAGTTTGTTATTGTGTTTGCGGAGTTTTTTCTGGGCAACAGCCAAGTCGGGCCCGGTAGCCGGTTCCTTATCAATCAGAGGGTTCGGTAAGCAAAGCGACTTGGTCAAGCGGTGAGCCTTGCAGAAAACCAAGATGACCAGGCCAAAGGCGCCCGGATGGGGTGTCAATGTAATTCATCTGGATTTGGCCGTCACCCGCGGTTGTTGCAGCCACCACCCGGACAGCTCGGGGTGGGCGGGGAGCAGCGCGGCGTCCAAATTTGTGCGGCGGACTTCAACATGGGGGCATTCCTCCCGCTCCTCCAAATGCTGCTCCTCTTCCGCCTCCGCTTCGTCCTCCTTCTCTTCCTCCTCCTCCTACTCCTCCTACTCCTCCTCTTCCTCTTCCTCCTCCTCTTCCGCCTCCTCCTCCTCCTCCTCCTCCTCCTCCTCCTCCTCCTCCTCCACTTACTGCTCGCACTTTGGAGGCTTCGGCCGTGGGGATGGGCCGCGGGTGATCCTTTCGGCATACAGGCGTCTGCCGTTTTGTCCTCAGCACGCGCGTGCTGACCCGATTGGCATCCACCCGCCGCGATGTATCTTCGTTATTCGGAAAAGCATCCGCCTGATCAGCAGACAACCGATGCTCAGTTCGGTGGATGACTGGCGCTCGGCGCCCACGGTTCCTTCCACGACCGCGGAGCGAGTGAAGTCCTAGCGAGGGCTGACATCTGGCGATGAAATCCTTCAGAACGCACCCCAGGAGAGGTCAGGAGAGAAGTGGTATCGGTATGTGCTTGTCCCCCCAGTGGGAGGGCCTCGACGAGGATATGAGGCGAGGCGAGGCGCGCCGTGTCCAGCCATAGAGGCCGACCCGCAGAAAGCAAGGCGCTGGGGCCACAGCCCTCACGTGTCGATCCTGTGCGTGAGTTCATGCTCCAACGAACTCCAATCCCCAGCTTGTACCATATGAGGAATCTGGAAGGCGGAGACCGCCGGAATGTCTCCAGGGTTCTCCAGAGGCCCCCTTGGAGGTCCCCGGAGGTCTGTGGAGATCCCCAGTGGCCTCCTGGGACTTCCCCTAAGGACGCGACAAAATTGCAACATCGTGAACAATCACGACCGCAGCGCCAGACCCCATCTTCTGCGGCATTTCGACCCGAATCGATCTTTGAGGGTCCCGGAGCCCGAAACCTGACAAACGCCAGGCTCGGAAAAGATTAAATCGCCATGGTCTCAGGGCCCGCCGACGTCCAGAGAGGCCCAAACCGTTCAAAGAGGAGCAGAGACCTTCTAGCCGCAGTTACCAAGATGGAGGAAGGTTCCTTTTCAAAATAGGCTTCCCACTTGACATTTCCTTCGATCGAAGACCAGAAGTTGCATCACATGCAGCAGCTGGCGGCTCATTGTCAAGATGGGTTGATCGCCTGAAACGTTGCCGAAGTTCAAGACCAGAGTGTAAAGTTGTTCATGGGAGGGCAGCGTCCACTTGCTTCTAATGACAAGTATATGGGGCCTGTGCCAAATACCGTTTTCATTTTCTGGCCACAAGCGTCTATTCAACCCCATGCCCCGGATAATAAAGTATCCCCCCTTCACGCATCCTATGTTGAGTATCTCCGGGCAAGACACTTTAGGGGGGAGGCGGGGGGCCGAACTTTATTATCCACAGGACCAAGCTTGAATCATAGTTGGAATCTTCTGATCATGAGTGGCAGCAGTATTCTTTTCATCTCTCGCCTAAGCGCCGCGCACACTCGTCTTAGTTTTACACTCTTAACATGTAGAGTTGCGAGGCCGAGAAAGCCAAAAAAGGAATTATCTGTTCCCTCCTCCCTTAGTATCCTCCCTCCCCTCTCTTCTCCCTCCTTTCCTTCGTCCCTTCACTCATCTCTCCTTCTTTTTCTTTTTCTTCTTCAATTAAGCAATACGAATACTATTTTCCTCTCCCCCCCGAAGACCCCGAACGTGGTCGAATGTGATGGGTTTTTCCATTCAGAACGTCTTCGGTTTTTCCAGAATGACGCTCCCGCTGCAGCGTTGGCTGCATTGTCTGGCTCTCGGTCCTTCCAAATCATACTCCCGCTGCTGCGCTGCCCTCATTTCTTTGTTGCGGATCTTCCAAATTGTGTTCCCACTGCAGCGTCGGCTCTCATGCTACGCTTCCGCTCTTTCCGAACCGTCCCTTTACATTTTTCGTCTTGCGTAATGTCTGGTATCCCTCAGAATGTGTTGTCTAAATGAGTCGTGTTCTCGACCAGCGTTGGCTCCCATTTTACGCTTCGGGTGTTCCCACACCGTCCGTTTACATGTCCCGTCCTGCGTCATGTCTGGCGTCTCTCAGAACCTGTTGTCGAGCAGGAGTCGTGTTCTCGACCTGGCAACGCCCTGCCGTGCTCTTTTACGCCGTGGAACGCCGTGCACTACCATGCATCTCGCACCCTCTTGGGATCATTGCCCTGCCCGACATCCGACTGTGCGAATAGAAAGGAGATCTACGCCATTGTACAGAATGGGAGGGAGGGGTAGGACGTCAGATGAGACGTTTGCTCACCTAATTAGCCCCTCCCCCGCCCCCCTCCTTCCGCCCCCACGATTGTTTTACCCCCCTGTTTTGGCAATCGCTGGAAAAGCCCGCACATATAATTCAATAGGTCCGAATTTTGTTTTTGACCCGAATCCTTCCTCCTCCCTCCTCCTTCCTCCTCCTTCCTCTCTTCTCTCACCTCCCTCCCTTCCCACACCTCCAGGGAGGTCCCGCCAGAGGGAGCAGGATCTCTTTATACCATACTATTTCATAGGACCCGTGCTCCTCCCACACCTCCTAGGCAGACTCCGCCAGAGGCCAGGGAGGCTCCGTCAGAGCAAGCCACACATTCATACTTCCGGGTTGCCAGGGAAGGTATTGATTTCCCTTCCGGGACCCTGAGTCTTATTATCGGAGGTTGGGTGGCAGGATCGCAGTGGAACGCAGAGCCCCCCATCGGAAATTGGTTTCGGTTTGGTGTTCGCGTGCGGGCGGGGCGAAGATGCGCGGGCGGGCGAGAAGAATGACCCCGCCGTCGCTAGGGCAATTCGGTTGCAAAGGATCGCCCTTCCGCCCCTGGTGGGCGCGCGGTGGCCTGGGGTGTCCCGCCGTGGTGTCTCGTTGGTGTCCCTCGGTGTTCCATCGGCGGTGTGTGGGCGGTGGCAGGATGTGTCCCGCCTTGGTATCGATAGGGATCGACAGAAAGGTCGATAGTGATTCCGATAGTGAGAGCGATGGTGAGATCGACAGTGAGATCGATAGTGAGGTCGATATGGAGATCGATAGTGAAAGGGATAGTGGGATCGAGCGTGAGGTCGATACTGTTATCAGTCGATAGATCGTTCGAGTGAGATCGGTACTGGGACCGATCGACTGAGATTGGTTGTTAGAGGGATAATGAGATCGATCATGAGATCGATCGTGAGATCGTGAGATCGATAGTGAGTGAGATCGATTGTGAGATCGATCGTGAGACTTGTTGATTGAGACGCAAGCTCCTCCCCCCCGAACCTCCTCATCGCCCGAAGGGTGGTCGTATGTCTACGTCTATAAACGACGCGGCCGTTGCGCTCGCGCAGTACATGGTCGGAGAAAGCGTAGATCCGTTTACGGGATGCGCCTGCGCTAGAGCGGGTCCCACAGGAGGGACGGAAAAAATCGGTTCATCTGCGCCGACATGCTCGCGTAAGTTGCCGGCGTAAGGTCGCGCGTAAGCGCCCTCGTCTCCAATGTAGCGTGCCGCGCTGGCGGCCCGCGTAAGCTGCGGCGTAAGGTCGCTGCGTCCTCTCGCATAGGTCCCACTCACGTGGCACTCCAAGCTGTTCAGCAAGCACACGGACGGGAGGTGGTCTTTCCCCACGGCAGTGATCTCGCTGGCAGGGACGCGGCGGAACGCCAACCGCGCGCCCCTCGGCGAGCCTCCCCCCCCCCCGCCAGTGTCGGCCAGCGGTGGGACGGCGCGGACTCCGGCTGGTTATGCCTGGACGGCGTCGACGTGCTCTCGCCCGCGGCGTGGGCGGAGTACGTGTGAGGCTTGGAGCCGGCTGGAGGTCTGAGGTGGCCCAGCATTGCTTCAGGGGGGCAAGAAGGGGGGGGGTCACCACCCACCAAACCACCCCAACCCAACCCGAAGGCTCAGATTTACCCGCGATTTCCAGTGGGGGGGGGTCGGGAAACATCAAAAAAACACCTGTGGAACCCTTACCCCCCCCAACCCGAAATTCGGGTCTTCGGGTTGGGTTGGGGTGGTCTGGTAGGTAGTCAGGGGGGGAGGGGGGGGGGGACAGGTCCGAGGGTCCGAGAAGGTTTTGTCCCTCCTTTTCGGCCTCTGGGGGCCGTGTGCGGGCCTTGGGGGTCGTTAGAATCGGATCTGGGGCGAAAGTTGCACTAGATGGACCCTGGGAGGGGTCCATCTGGATCGACTTTGAGTCCCCCCTCCTGGCCGAGTTTCCCAGACCCTCGACGCCCTGATTTTTTCATCGCGCCGACCCCCCCGGGTTCTCGACCCATTCCCCGGGACCGGTTTCTCACCCCGAGTCGTTTCTGGACGGCCCCCGAGGCCGGGCAAGGGCCCTCGAGGCTGGAAAGAACGGAGAAAACCTCCCGTCGCGTTTCCTCCGCGACCTCATTAAATGGGGCGTGAAGAAAGGAAACCATATAGGGTTTTTTCCTTCACCCCCCATGTTTTGGGCCATTCCCCTCCTCCCCCTCCTCCTCCTCCTCCTCCTCCTTCTCCTCCTCCTCCTCCTCCCTCAATCAACTGTGGTTTGAGGGAGGGGGTCCCCAGGGGACCTTTTACTTTCCACACGCCGGAGTCCAGTATCTGCACGAGGTGCTTGAGCCACGCCATACCGTACACACACCCTTTGTGTTTCAGCGTGGTGACAGAATCTGGAGATAATGACCAGATTCCCCAAAAACGGCAGGATGGACACGATATTGTCAGCGCTCTGGCTGCAAGTGGAATGCGATTCTTCAAGCCAACAAGTGCAAGTGAAACCAGTGTCATACGCGTTTCACGCAGTACGAAGCAAATGGCAAGTAAGTCCACATCGCAAGCGAGAGCAGGCAAGGGACAGGATCCAAAGACACCCCCAGAGTCTCCGGCATCAGCCCCAATCACAAAGATCGACGTGCTTGAGCTCGCTCTGACCAACGTGACTGACCCCACGCTGAAGGCCTTCCATCCAGAAGCAGCTTGCGCTGAAGAAAGCCACCCGACCCGAGGATGAGACATAGGCAGCCGTCTTCGCAGCAGAGACCCTCCGCAAGGCGGTGGGAGCTTGGAAGGATGCAGAATACAAGCGCCGCCAGGCCGTGTCCAATGTTCTGAAGCTTGCTGGATCAAAAGAGAAGGCCGCAGCGGAAGTTCTAGCCCAGGCAGCGCTTGCCAAACAACAAGCCCCCGTGGCTCTCACCAAGATCGAGGGCATTGGAGCTAAATCAGATGATGTACAAAAAACAGATTTATTCAATCCGGATTTCAACTTAACATGGGACGACTCGACGTTCACTGACTTGGACAGCAAAGAGAATGAGGATGAGGAAAAGCTAAATCTCAGTCCATTCATGCTGGACTTGTTGCGTTCAAGCAGAGAGCAGTAGGATATAACTCAGAGATCGAGGATTGGTTGACCCAAAGTGCACAGATCAAGGAAGCCGCCGCCACTAGAACCGCCAAACAAAGAACAGGAAACACTGGAGCCCAGACCCCCACAGATGCCAGCGCCGCTGGAGGCCAGACGGCCCCCGCTCAGCCAAGCCCTTCAGATGGGGGCGCGCAGATGAGCGGAGCAACGGATGCGGCAGCAGCGGCTGCGTTTACGCCCAATCCAGAGGTCGCAGCCGCGGGGTCGGAGCCCAGCCCAGAGACCGCCCATGCAGAATAGACAGAGCAGGTTGCAGCTACCGCCGCCAAGCTGCCCCGAGCAAAGTTCGACGCCGAGACCAAGGCCTTGTCCGCCAATGTCAATGGGGGTCTCGAGCCAGACCGCCCTAGGCAAGGGCTAGGGAGCCCCAGCCTCGGACGCGGACAATGGGGGAGCACGGCATTGAAGGCCAAATGGCGGAGAAGACCAGGCACCAGCACAACCATTGCAGGTGTTCTGGGAGGCAGGTGTCACCAATGTTTTCTGCGCCTATATCACATCAATGGGAGATAATAGGTTGCAGATTTAATGCAGCCAATAAATCGCCATAACATTTTCGGGCTAGCCGAAGCTCACGGCAACGGCAACGATATCAGACAATTGGATGTTAAAGCGAGAAAGAAACTCATTGCGAGCAAGGCACATCATTCTCAGCGGAGTGCATGCCGAGCTCGCGAATCCCCATCAAACGAACGAGGAGAATGGGTTCTCGCTCGCGGTCATCTGCAGTGTCGCCACTTGTCTTCAGCAGAATATTGCAAGGCTCCCCAGGCAAAGGGCCAAATGAGCTGGGACGGTTCCATGCCAACAATCATTCAGTTTCAGCGGGTGGCAATCGCTCTCATAGTATTATATGGACATGCCAGCATAGATATGGCGGGGAAGAATTTGACCAGATATCATCACCTGGGGTCTTTCCTCAATGCCCCCGAGATTCCTTGGATCGTCGCAGGAGATTCCGACGTGCCAGCAGCACTTCTTGCGAGAAAAAAAAAAGGCCCCCTCTCTGCAGTTGGCGGAGAGGTCGCGCAGGCGCCAATCGAAGTCACATGTTCTGCTGGGAAAAAAGGGCCCGGACCCGGGGCCAGGGGCGCGCCTGGAAGCCCTCAGCTGCTAGGCCCCAGGTACTCAATCGAGCAGACGCGCGTGCCAAACGTGCCGCCGCGCACTCATGCTTTTTGGAGATCGCCTCGGCTCGACGCCAGGGAGGAAATCGAACGGCCCAACCCAAGACAACGAGGACGCCAGGGTTTTTAGTTTCGACTTAGATGAAGACTTCGAGGCCCGGCCAGTGAACGGCTCGATTGCCGACGAAGTTCCCCCGCCAGAAAATGAGCTGGGCAGTCTCGCCCCGCCCCGCCCCCTGGCCAGCCAGGAAGCCCAGAAAGAAGACCACCTCAGCTCTGCCATCCCGGATGAAGTCTGGGGACAGCGCTGGAAGCTCGCGGGGGAGTTCCCCGGGGGCCCTCGCACGCCCCCGCCCCACTTCCCTGCTTCGCTAAGTGGCCGTTTTGGCCCAAACAATCTCGGCGCCATCAGCGCTTGCTACGCCGTTTGGGCGGTCTACACGCACTATTCGCGCTCGGCCACTTCTGGGGCCCGCCGCAGCCAGAGCCCCAGTTTCAGTTCTCAGGGGGCCCAGACAGCAGTCACACTCGGAGAGGCGCAACCTTTCCAGGGCGCGATGGCTGACTGGCGGGCGCAGTGGCACACTATCGTTTCAGGAATCATGAAGCACCGACATAGAGGCAACGCCACGAGGTAGGCTACGCGACAGGTCTCGTGCTGCAGTATGATATCGAAAGAAGTGCCAGTTCAAGCGCATGCTATCATGGCGCACCTGGAACCAACCACTGTCAGTGTTCAGTGGGTTCCAAGAAAAACTTCAAGCCAGACAGACTCAAGAATCCGCAAAACAGAGAGCCTCGCCAGACGGCTAAGCAAGAGGGCGCAATCACGTGCCATGTCTGGTTCTCTTGACGAATTTCACGCGCGGGTCGACTCGCCAGAAGCATTGGGGCGCCTTTTTCTAGGCACGCAAGGAACAGACGCTGGCACCGCAGCAGCATTTCAAGTCATATGGACAATGGACGTCGCCGCCGAAAGAGATCATCGATGATCTATTGCCAAAGTGGATTGACATATGGGCGCCGCCAATCCTGTCGCGCGACAACCTGGACACCGCATTTCATGGAGCACGCGCAGTTGCCGATATGGATCCTCCACCAGAACTCCAGCCAGCCGCTATCGTAGCAGCTGCGCGGAAGATCAGACCACAAGTAGGCATTGGAGTTGACATATTAATGTCATTGGACGGCGAACGCCAGCCTCAAGCAGCATTCCAAGAACTGTGTAAATTGTACCGCATGGTCGAAGCGAGCCTTTCATGGCCAGCGCAACTTCAGCTGGTCATAGGTCACGCGCAGCCCAAGCGCAGTGGGGATGGCGACAGAATCATCAGGCTTTTACCAATTGCAAGCCGCCCGCATTTGGCCCCAAGCACGCGCGAATCAAGTTGGCCGCGCCCTCCGCTCCAATATGGGGCGCGGCCATAGAGGGCAACTCGGCGCTTCGCGAGGCTTTCGTTCGTGCGATGGACGAGGAAATCGCTAGTCTAATGAATATGTCAAGTGGCCATGGATTGATGGACATAAATGAAGTTTCTGGCGCGAGAACGTGGGGCAGATTAATGAATTGCGCGCTCGAGCTGGGGTTCCCAGAGCAGGTGCTACACCTGGGATTATTGAGTTCCGCTGTTCCGAGAACATTGCGACTGCCAGAAGCATTTTCAGAACCACTCTGCCCCACGCAAACAGTGGTGCAAGGGTTGCGGAGTGGAGCGAGGTTCGCGAGAGCCATGGTATATGTTGCGCTTCAGTCTATTTCCGCAACCCACGTCAATTTCACGCATCGAACTTGGATCGACGACCCAAGCCAGAGCGCAAGAGGATCGAGGGAAATGCTAATGCGAGAACTGCCAGGAGTACTTACCAGCACTTGCCGCGGACCCCAGGCGGAAAAATTGAATGTCGCAAGCAAGAGCGCAGTTCTTTGCACCCATATGAGTGATGCTAGGTACATTGCCAGAGAAATCCGCCCACCTGGTTTTCCGATCGGGGCGCCCCAACCGGCAGCATGCCCCGGAACATCGCTATTGGGAGGCAAATGACATGGGCGAGAGCTTCGAGTCAAAAGAATGTCAACACCGGCCGCCATGAGCAAAACGTTGAGATCATAAGCCAAAGCTTCACGACGCTACAGAATCATGACCCATATAGGAAAACAAGGGCCTTACGCAGCAGGAGCGCATGGTCATCAAAGCCACGGCACGTTTGGAAGACAGCTACTCGCAATCCGCGCGAGGCTAGGCGCAGTTTGTGCAGCGGCGACCTCAGAGATGTCTCACA